CACAGCTTCCATGGCTACTTTACAATTTTGCGAGTAAATTTACTAGGCTATATTTGTGGTCTATTAAGATATAAAATTAAACATAATGTGGCATCTTCTTTTAATGGAAACTTATCATTTGGTTTAGCTTTATCTATAGCTATAAAAAGCTATTCGAAGAATATACTTGTCTACCTCAAAACATAATTTGCAACGACAAGCGATACTTAGGACAAACTAAAGACCTAAGTCTTACTGGTTGCATATAACGTTAAAAGGTTTTGCTAAGATTTAAGGCTTGTGACCACAGGAATATTTAGATTTAATTTGTATTATTATTGTACTCGTATATTATCATGTATTCATCTCGACAAATCGTACAGATATTAAATTCGAGATTGTATTTCTTCGAACGTAGAACATTTTCCTACGAAATTTAAAAATCAAGAAGGTTGTTTCAATACAAATGATCATGGTATTTTTCTAGTTTGTTTATTTTCGAAAACTTGATAAAGTTTTGCATCTGAGAAACGCGTGAAGAATATTTTGAAGGAACTGACTGACACGTCCATTTGACGATAAAATACAAGTTGTGCTTTGATCAACAATGTTAAAGAATATATTTACAACTCTGATTACCGTTCTTGAAATTCAGTTCACACAGGTCAATGAGTTAGATATGGATATAAAATATTTATTTGAGATGTAGTGCAACAACTTCTCACGAATATAAAATAAAATAGTACGTACAAAGTACAATGTAATGTACATATACTTGTCACTAAATCCTAAACTAAGATTAATACAACAAAATTACGTGTATCCTTTCAGAGAGGATCTATGCAGATTGTTTATTTAAAATTGTTGTTATATATGCAAATGATTTAGCAAAATACTAAGACAATAGATATTGTTGACAGAAGATGTAAAAAGAAGAATATTGTTCAATGTAAACGGAATTTTATCTGTGAAGAATATCTCTCTCAAAGGGATCCTCGAAGATGTATCCTCCTTATATTGCCTTCGCATATTACGTACGACTGTTAAAAAACTATAAATTTATTGTGGCCTAATCAATGGGGAGAGGAACAGAAACTGCACTTAAATTTGAACGTTTGTTAAAACAAGGGGCAAATAATCAAAAAAGTATCAGATGTAAAAGTATTGATTGTAAAAATTTATGATAAGAAAGACAAACGGGAAAAGATGATAATGAAACATGCGCGTAGGTCCGCTTTTGTGTATAAGAATAAAACGTACACGCATAGACACAAGATGTATTTTGTATAACTTTACGTGTAAATTCCAAACTTTATTGTATATCATGTGTGTTCATTTAAGTGCATCAGAGCAGACAGATCATTTGCTCCATCTACCAATCATGCTAACATGATTACAAACATATAATGTACAAATACAGAAGCGTTGATATCATACTACTAACGACTACTTAATATAATGAGATATAATGTTGAAAGAGTATTATTTCTACGATTACACAAAGCTATATTTTCGACTCATTGTTGATCAATGAATTTTATAGTTTATCTTTGGCGTAATATATATGAACTCTAGAAATTATTTTGTTCCGATATTGAATTGTTAAATAAGTATTTCCTCTTTACTATCGCGTAACTATTAGCGTATTTATTTATTGATAGATATTTCAAGTTTCACGAGATACTTGTGGTAATTGCATAATTTTAACAATAAATACACACACGAATGTGCATAAGAATATTGTGACCACTGAAAATGTACCTAATACTATTAATAAAGTGTATCTTACAAACTTTCCTGTTCTATGATCAATGTTTCATGCAAGTGCGTGTGTAATTTGTTGCCAATTTGAATTTGAATTTGCCGCCGTTACGATTGCGATCATCGTGATTGTCGCACTTGCGAACAATAGAATATCCATATAATGATGCGCAAAGTATTACAGACCGAGACGATCCCCACGATCTATTAGGAAAAGATCTCTTAATTTCCCAATTAATATTATAAAAATGCGAGAGATACGTGCATAACGAGTCAATTAATTTGTCAAGTCGTTTCGACGTTACTCCGATTTACGTGGTGCCAACAAGTAAAGACAGAAGCGCCACATTGTTCTGTGTTGGCCGCATGCTTCGACACACTGATTCCCCGGCGCGGCGTGTGTTGCAAGTGTGTAGGTTACCCCGTTGCTGGCATACTGGTGTAATTGAGTACACGTTGAGTTGTTTGACGGTGGTCGCTGCGAGTTATTGACGCGTCTGACCTGAAGCATCTGGTTGTTTTCGTTCGCGGAAAATGGTGGCGGTAAAAGGTCGCAAGAATTCAAACAAAAATCTCCCTATATTCAGTCATGAATTCATTATCCAGAATCACGGAGATATTGTTTCTTGCGTGGCGATGATCTTTGTGACAGGTTTGATGGTGCAAGTGAGTTTTCAGTTTCTCTAGTGTCAATGACATTTTCGTTTAACGTATACGTATCTTTCATAGATTTTCTTTACTTTTTGAGCTGTTTCGCTCGAACTCGTGTTCAAAGGGCTAATATTAGCTTTGCTTGTCATTTGCGTGATGACCATATGTTATTTGTCATTGCCTTTTATTTGCTGACCAATACAGATATATCAAATAAATCGAGCTCGTTTATTTGTATGCTGCTATTAATTATAAATTATTTTTTCAGGTAACATCACCATGGGCATATACGTTTATTGCCATCCATCACAACATAACTTCAGACGAAGATCCAACCACGCCAATGAAGTACACCACTGGTTGGAAAGATGCATGCGCTGTATTTTTCTCTCTGTTAATAACGATTGTAATGCATGCCGCGTTTCAAGATTACATCTTTGATGTAAGATGTATTGAAGAATTCTTTTATTCCATATGTTTTAATGATAGCATCGTACTAACGTTTGTATCTCTTTTCTTTTTCTTTTTTTTTTTCAGAAAGTTTCGAAGCGTTTGCATCTTAGCAAAGTGAAGCTTGCTAAATTCAACGAATCTAGTCAACTCGTTTTATTTTACATATTATCTATTATATGGGGTATAGACATAATTATCAGGTTTGTTATATGAAGTATGAGCGTAATAAGTTTTCATGTAATTGAATTTACGAATTTCAGAGAAGATTTGTTGTTGAACATAACGTTGATATGGAAGGAATATCCCATGCCAATGTTTTTCTGCACAAAATTGTTTTTTATTTGTCAACTTGCTTATTGGCTCCATTGTTATCCTGAGCTGTATTTTCAGCGAGTGAAGAAAGAAGATATTGCTCCTCGAGTTGTGCAAGCAACTTTTGGCTTTCTTTCCACACTTGTGGCTTATATTTTCAAGTATGACATACATGTTTTACTGACACTTGTTGATATAATATAAATACAACGTTGCATTATATGTTAATATTTTGTTATTTTCAGTTTTCAGCAAGTAGGAATCTTATTGTTAGTTTCACATTATATAGGAGACGCTATGCTTCATGGAGCTAGACTTGTACATTTTGTTGGTAAAAAGGAAAAGATGACAAAAAGTGAGTATAATTTCAAGTATGTCATTTTATGTAATGTCATCCTCTCTTGTAATATCCTGACATTATTTTGTTGTAGTGGCATTCCTCGTTGCTAATTCAGTGTACGTTTCCATACGCGTTGCGACAGTGGCTATTGCAACATTAGTGTTTCTGTATGGTTTGAGTCAAGTGGAAAGTGTATTCGATTTTGCGACTGGCAATTTCAATATTCCAGCTATACGATTTACAGCTTTATCCTACATTATCATCTTCCAAATCTATCTATCTTACATATTTGTTTCGAGGCAAATGAAACGCGCCCGTGAAAATGTAGTTCACGTACAAACAGTGGTAAAATCAAAACAAAAATCAAAGAAGAAAGAAGGTAAGAAAAATTTAAGAAATTTTTGTGTCGTTAATTTAGCGGAAAGTCCCAGTTTGAAGTATGAAATTTACTTTCATTTAGGAAAAAAGTCTGCCATGTCTGAGGACGATGATTTGCCAGAAGTCGATCAGGCAACTAAGAAAAATCTTAGATCTCGTTCGTCTACAAAAGCTAAATAGATATTTAGCAAAATAAGAAATTTATCCAAGGCTGATCGTACACAAGTATCTGTTTTATTTATCTATGTATTATAAATACGGTCTCTGATATTACTATTTATGAAAATTGTCATTACATTAATATCATTTTAAAATATCAATTGTCATGCGATTTTATCATTGCATATTTCGCGTTTGCGGCAAGTATACATGAACTTTACTCTATTGAAAGAAGAAATAACATAAGATGTTGCAGAATGAATTTTATTATTACTTTACATGTTCAACTATAGAAATAAAATAATAAAAAAATTGAAAAGAACATAAGAATACTAGATTATCATATTGATTATTATGCCAGACATTGTCAATGGACAAATTCCCATTTGCATCTATTTGATCAATAATAACCATGAATGTGAGATGAATGTATTAATACTGATTAACATATGATTACTTATATTTGTAACACTATCGCTATAATTGAACACAATTTCAAAAAATGTAATAAAAGAATATAAAATGCTATTCTATGTATTCTGGATTTAATTATTTATATTGTGTGGAACTAATTTTAACTGGGAAACTAATTTTTATCTCTGTCTTTCGCGCTCCTCGTTTAAGCAATGTTTCGATCTTTAGGGTAGAAATTTCAAATCTTTATATAAGCATTTTCTTAAAATGAAATATAGTGATAAAAATCTATCACTGTCCTTGTCGCACAGTAATGCGCTCTCTGTCTACAAACAAGATGACAAATGCTGCCATCTATCGGATTTTTCCATTTTGTACTTTTAGTACCAATCAGAATTGAAAAACGCTTAGATGGCAGTGCTATCCATAGACAAAGAGCGCGCTAGTGTGCGACAAGGACAGACTTATGCAATGTGACAGACAAGAAACGCACAAGTGAGCAACAAGGATAGCAATAGATTTTAGTTCCACCATTTCATCGCTACGCGGCGCTAGTATTCCAGTGTCCATGAATTGAGCAAATTTTCATTTGTGAAAAAAATGTAATTAGAAGTTTAATTTGACAAACTTCTTTTATTGTTGGAAATTAGTTCCTAAATTTTTCTCTAATGTTCTATTTGACCAATAACGTACTTGTATAAAGAAATTGAAATTTCCATTCAACAGATCGAAAATAGTGCCGGTAATATAGGTTGTGTCGATACGCAGATGCAATAAAAATGAAACCTTTGTGATGGATAGTTATTGTTTACTGTTTAAAATTTACTGAAGCTGTTATATGCATAATGATAGTCTTTTAAGAGTTTTAAAATAGATAAATAAAATAAAATATCATCGAAGCTGTCATCGTGGCGAGGAAATTCGTAGTTCTTGTAAAAATATCTTGTTACTAAAAGTTGTTAATTAAAAATGATTAAAAGAAAAAGTTCAGTTAAACGTCAGTCTAGATACAGTTCTGCTATTTTAAATTCCAACTCGGAGACTTTTGGCGATGGTACGTACTCGTTTGATGACTTTCACATAGGTTAGGTATTCATATAACTTGTCATATTTACGTTTTAGAATATTCACATTGGTGGAAAAATGTGGAGGATAACTCATTGACGAGGCCGTCAACAAATTCAAATGTTTTGAATCAGACCAGCCGTTATTTAGATTCTAACTCAGAAATGGAAGCAAGCTTGACTACGGACGACTGGTGGAAAGTACTGGACATCTCAAATTCCTCAAAAATGAACAACAACGTAGTACAAAGGAGTACGTTTTCTTGATCTACGAAGTGTAAGATTTCAAACTACTTGTTACTAATTATAACATTTTGCTAGATTCTGTGATGAATGTGCAGACATCAGAATCTGAAGAGGAGTCCGTAGTCAAAAAAAGAAAACATTCCCTGCTTCTGAAAGGAAGGAAAAGCAAAGATAATATCTTTTTGAATGCTCTTAACGACTCTGTGTCATCTAAATTGAAAGTTGCAGAAAAGACTAGACGAAGAAAAAGTTCTATGTCACCTGGCAGAACAATCCCTAATGCGCAACAGTCGGATAGAGTAGAGGAACGCAGTTTAGATCACAGTCAAAGCACCAATGATATTTTAAAATCAAAGCCTAATATTTTCAGGAGAAATTACAAGAGTCAGAACAGAAATCCGTTTATCGACGTGTTGAAAGAGAGTGAGTTAGAACCTTCTTCCCCTAGAAGGGCAAAATCTCAAACAATAGTCTCCGATAATGAGCAGCAAATTGAAAGAAAGGATTCAATTCCTGCTGCGACCAAAGCCTCGACTTCTAATAAATCGGTGGCAAATCAGCTTGAATTAACATCTGAAAATGAAAATGACGTTTCACATTTTCGGACACCAAAAGCACAGAGAACAATGTTTGAAGATAATAGTCCATCCGTACATAATAGTACCAAGAGAAGCAATGACAGCGCGTATGACACGATATTGAAACCGAAATCAAGACTGCTGGCAAACTATCGTAAGAATAGAAACAAAAATCTATTCGAGAATGCACTTGAAAGTCAGAAAGACACTTCCAGAGTACAGGAGACTTTATTGCACGGTTCGTCATTGCCGTTACAGTCTCCTTCGAGGGAGAGAGTCTCAACTGGTTCTGCACAGTTGCAACCAACGGTTGTTAGAACGTCTAGCCCGCAGAAAACCAACGTTTCCAAAGGACAGAAGAGTGTTAGGCATTTTTTGAAATCTGACAAAATGTTACCGGCGTCGCAGGTGTTCCGCGACAAAGATAAAGTGGACGGGATCAAACGAAAACTAGATATGGTGAAGAAACGAGAAATAGCCCGTATGAAGATGGACGAGAACAAGCAAAAGAACGCAAAGAAGTCGTCGTCGGTGGTAAGAAAAATAGATGAGGTCGAGGAAGATAGGAAACCGAGGTTGCAAAAGCAACGCTCCACGAGACAAATTCACAAGGCCTTTCTGGTGAACGGGCAACCGTACCGGGTACCTCGGCTTCCCCGTCCACAATACTGGATTACCGATCGTCTGTATAAATATCTGTGGAAGTGTATGGAACCGAGATTCAAGCTGGAAACGAGAATCGCCTCCGAGAAGTTCGTGCATCAGTTATCCAACGTAACAACGTTGATCGTCAAACGAAAATCGTACTCGAGTTACAAGGCCGAATTGCACGCGTTGATGAAAGAGATGGCGCGGCTTGGAATTATCCGTACACGGAACGATTTTTACAACTTTTGCCACGATTTCTTTCCGTACGAGCTTCGCGTGAGAACGGTGCCGATGCTGCTACCTGGAAATAAAAAAAATATACCGTACAACGCGAACGAGTTGCACGAACCTCTTCTCGCCTCTTTGACTTCTGTTACTTGACGTATCACATAATAATCAATAATGTCACGTTCAATTGCAGTAACATATCGCACGGACCACGATAAATGTATCTCTGTTGTATTTGAAGAGATCTCGCGCCGCAATTGTTTATATTTTTATAACCAACGTGATCATCTTTAGTCCCATTGAATTCATTTTCTACGTAGAATGTACTTGGTTATTTCTATAATTTCGGCCAATCGGTATTCGATATTTTAGCGTTTAAATAAAAAGATCTTGAAGTTTCTTCAAAAGATCAATGCAGTTTCTTCTCTTTTTTTCTTTTCATGATGTCTCTCGTATCCGTGTGTTATACAATTATACACTTACAGCAACTACGTTACTAGCCGAAGTGCGATTGTAAATTGTACATTACGAATATATTTACAAATTCATCTTTGTACCAGTCAAGTACTGTCGTCAGTGAACAAGTTTCGAGATGAACAGTAAAATATGAAATATACAAAATTGCGTGAAACATAAAACAGTACATTGAGAAAACGAAAACCAGAATTCCTAAACCTAACCTAAATGTTCGTGACGAGTGAAAGGAATGAGTATCCACAGATCGCCGTGTCAAAGTTGGTAGTTAAACTGCTCATTTCTGCGCCCGTTGTTCATCATTGCGCGAATAAACCGGTTCTTGTCGCGTCTATTGTCCGTCGGTGCAATTTTCCCGAACGACAAGGAGACTTTGCTCCCGGACTTGTCGATTATAATTATTGATGATTTTCGGGAGGGCGGAGAAGGCATGCGGTTGCATGCACGATATCTCGTGGCTTCTCCCTTCGCGGAACTGGAGGAAGGGAGCAGGGCTGGGGGAATACAAAGATGGTGTTATACTTGGGTGAACCGTCTTAATTAACCGAATCTGACCGAGTCTCGTTTGAAGTTTAATCTCTAATGGAACAGCCGTCGCAATTAGGTGAGACTTATTTTGCGCTCACCATATCGCGTATAATGTTTGAACGAACATCTAGGGAGGGGGGGGGGAGAGGACACGTGACCCCGGCACGCGTCGCTCGTTACTCTATCGCTATCGGCAATTGTTTCCCATAAAAATTATTACGCTTTTTTTTTTTTTTTTTTGTATCGTCGAAATCCTTCTCCTCTTTCACAGTTTTTTTTTTCTACTCTTATTATTCGTCTTCGATGCAAGTGTAGATCGCAAGATCGTACAAAGAGTATTATCTTTATATAAAAAATCGAGAAATTTGAGAAATTTAACCTTTAACGATCGAAAGGTTTAGGTTAGGTGTTAAGGCCCCGCTACGGGGACATAACACTTAAAATTAATTTCATTTATAAAATTATGAATAAACTAAATATCTTGAATTTATATCTAAATAAACTAGTTTTTATAAGCTTTCACCTAATTTTCTGTTTTACGAGCGAATATTACAAAAGAAACTCTCGTTA